GCACCTCTAGGATTTACAGGAAAGGCTCGGCTCTTCTTCGGTCACGGCTCGGTGAACTGGAGGCTCGAAAACACAAACTGTGAGCTTCTTCTCTGACACAACGCCGTCTCTGTCCGTCCGTCCGGGGATCTCCTCCTCCTCCTCCTCCTGCGTGATGGTGAAAATCTAATGACGGTCGAGGCACACGTTGGAGTGAGATTCCTCCACGGCGGCATCAGTTGGGTTTTGTGTGTGTGATTGTGTGGCGACAAACATTTGGCGGGGCAGGAAACGGGCCGGTTATTGTGGTGTTTTGTGTGAGAGTCTGTTTTACAGGGCGTGTGTGTGTGTGTGTGTGTGTGTGAGACCTGAAGCACATGAATGGCGTGTTGTGTTTAGTGTGCAGACGCTATTCTTCACGTTGCTTCACTCAGGAACTCAGGAAGTAACGATATATCTGTTATTTCAGGCGCAGCTCTTTTTTTGAATTCTCTGTGACGTTTCTCAGCGGCGGCGGCGGCGTTGACAGACCTGCAGGAGGGATGATGAGGTTTCAAGGTGTTTTCGAGCGATTTATGATTTCTTTCATTCATTCATTCTGCCTGCCGGGGGGCTGGGGTTTCCTCCGTCTGGTTACTGGCTGTTTTCAGACACGTCAGCGATAGGCAGACAGCAGACTCTTCCGGTCTGGTATCAGCGGCCTCCTCCCACCTCCGGCAGCGTTGGGGGAAGACCTGGCAGAGGGGGGAAGAGAATAAGTGGCGGAAGCGCTGAGTGGCTGAGATGAGATGGAGACAAGATGAAGGAATTTAAAATAAAGAGGAGCGCTGCCAGCTGCCAGCGAGCAGGAAACCATGCGTTCATTTCCTGAACTGTTGAGTCTATGACAGAATGGAAGTCTGGCCTGGAGTGAAGGTCTATTCATTCTCAGCACAAACTGACTTTCTGACAGTTTTTCTGACAGAAAGCTCTCGGCTGAGTGACTCACCCACCTGTACGCTTTGACTGTTGGTCTGACTGGCAGGCTGACTTGTGGACCGAATGACTGGCTAATGAGTCACTGACCTACTAACTGCTGCCCTGTGCACAGAATAGCGTCTGTTTGCCTAAGAAATCCCAGCTGCTTGGTGTTTCAGGAGTGAACTCCAGTCAGCTCTCCGGGTTCCAGCAGTTCAAAAGTGCAGCTACGCGGCGCTGGTCCTGGCTGTCGGGCTGTAAACTGACATTTTAAGAGCGGACAGTGTCTTTTGTGTGGAGTGTTTTTGGGTTTGAGCGCGGCTCCCTGGGAGATGATGGCTGGATAAACCCTCCGGCCTGCAGAGGAAATTCTTGTGTAGTTGTCTGTTTGCTTTCTTTTTCCTCTCGCTGTCTTTTGTTTACCGAGGGCAAATGAGAAGAAGGCCGTTTGTCCTCCTCGCTTGGCCCAGTTCTGTGTTCACCGTCGCCGGAAATTTGCTTTCTGTAGCCGCTTCATTCAGATATAAAGTCGTGCGATCTTCACGTATTAAAACGGATTTGACTTGCAGCAGCTCGTGCTCAGGTTCCATCAGTTGGTTATTACTTGCTGCTGAAGAAGACCTCCAGCTGCCTCCTGCTTCACTCGTTATTCCTCAGCTATTGATTTGTGAAACAGGAAGCGACCCCGAAGACCAGATTACGTTGTCTCACTTACTTATGGGGCCGTGGTTTAGTTCCCTCTCAGCCAGACGAGCAGATGACTACACGATGAGGATAAATATTCCCCCGTAGTCACAGCAGCAAGTATTTAAATATCGTATCAGATGTTTTAGTCAGAATATGACTTCTGTATCGTCTTTGTGCTGTGTGTTTCTGCAGCTTCCTCGACCAAAACATGGCCGCAGGTGTCGTCTGTGCTTCTTTGCAATGAAAAAAACTGGAAAATCATGAAAGTTTTTTTGTCCAAAGTGTTAGTTTTGTGCACGTATTTTATACAAACACGTAAAAACATGGAAAAATGAGTCACTACAATGCAACAATCATGCCTTAATTTAGCATTCAGTGCATCTAAAGCATGCAAATCTCTGCACTTTTTAAACCAGAAGCAGCTTTGGTGTCAAAGTGGTGCCTCAGTTTGTTTGAAACTTGTCATTTCCGATGAGGAACTTGGCTCATGAGTCGTGCCCCTGTGAGATTTTAAAAAAAAACTGATATTTCCCTTCTGATAGCGATCGTTGTCAAGGAAACGTAGACTTTGTTGATTAGACATCAAAACCAAACTAGCAGGACACTTGATTTCTAGATAAACTTTGAGTCTTATCTGTTTTTTCCTCATTTCATTTTCAGTTCTGCAAAAAGTTTAAATACAAGATGTGAATTTAACCCGTTTAGTTCTACAGAATCACGTCCCGGTGCACGCTGCAGGGTTGCTGAGGTGATTGTTCTGCACAAATGTTCAAAATGAAGCTACAGGTTTCTGCTTCTATTTTTTGTTAAGTTTCCCTCGGCCGCCCTCTTTGTGTCCTTCTTCTGGTTCACGTCGGGGCAAAGGGGGGAAGGGAGGCCAGCTCAGGTGACTCAAAGTGGACTGAATGACTAAAATGGTCTTTTTTTGCCTCCTCAGGCGGAGGGAGATGTAGCAGCTCTGAACCGTAGGATCCAGCTGGTGGAGGAGGAGTTGGACCGAGCCCAGGAGAGACTGGCCACGGCGCTGCAGAAACTGGAGGAGGCGGAGAAGGCTGCAGATGAGAGCGAGAGGTCCGTTTTTATCACAACAAACAGCTTCACCGAGACACCTGGCTTTCACAAAACAAACCATAAAACCAAGTGTTTTTGCAAGAATGTTAACTGAACTGTGTCCATCAGAGGGATGAAGGTGATCGAGAACCGAGCGATGAAGGACGAGGAGAAGATGGAGATCCAGGAGATGCAGCTGAAGGAGGCCAAACACATCGCAGAGGAGGCCGACCGCAAATACGAGGAGGTGAGGCCCTCACAAAGTCATATAATGAATCAGTTTTTATCATGTCATGTTTTAAATCTCCTAAAATCTTCCTGCTTGTGGTCTCAGGTGGCTCGTAAGCTGGTGATCCTGGAGGGGGAGCTGGAGAGAGCCGAGGAGAGGGCCGAGCTCTCAGAATGGTAAACCCGGTGAACTCGCCTCAACGCGCAGATGTTCTCTGTTGTTATTCTCACGTTAAAACCAAGAACGTGTTTGTTTGTGGCCACAGTAAAGCCAGTGACCTGGAGGAGGAGCTGAAAAATGTGACCAACAACCTGAAGTCCTTAGAAGCCCAGTCTGAGAAGGTCAGTGTGGGAGTTTCACACATTGAAAGGTGGTTCTTCTTGTCTGCATCCCCATATCCATACTTCCAGTCAGATTTTGCAGCTGGCAGGACGTCAGCCTTCCCGTCTCACAGTCCTTTGCATCACAGCGTTTTGCACGTTTAGCGTGAACGAGCTCGAAGCTACGAGCGCGCTCAGACGCTCGTTTACAGGCTGCGGCGGTGAAAGTTGAAGGTGCAATAGTTTTTCCGCAAACAACTTAGTTTATCAAATACTCGGCGGACACATGAGAACGTGGCGGAAAAAACTCCAGCCACATGTGTGTTTTGCGTGTTTTATTTATTTACCAAGCAATCGGTAATTATAGATGGTGAGGAAGAGCCTGAGGGGCAGAAACACTGGAAACCGGAGCGAGACTTCATCATAAGAACTTATGTGTGCATTTAGAGTTCAGTTACTTTTCTCTGCAGAGACAAAGATCTTTTTTTATAATAACCAAAAGGTCTTGATGATAAGATGAGAGCAGCCTTTATTAATCCCACAGTGGGGAAAGAGGACGGACAAACATTTAAGAAATATCAGCAGAAAAATAGAAAATAAACCAAAATGTACGTGCACTGATTATTACATGAACAGAAATACAGAGAGAAGTATGAAAAAGCAAAAAGATGTTGCACATGTTCTAGTATATATATGAAGAAAAACAGACATTGCTCAGGGTTTTAAATGTGCAGAATATTCATAATTCACAGCGATGAATGTGTTGATAACATCTCTTCTCTGAGCTTCATCCACCACGAGATGATGACAAACAAAACTGCAGTAAGAATAAAGACTAACTTCTGAATAAATGAACATATATGTGTAGAAACACGCACATGTAGACGACGTTTTCCACGACGATGACCAAGCAGTACAGCTGTAGTACTGAAGCACTCAGAGCATGTGTTCAATCTGTTTTTCCTCATAAAGCAGCTTCAGTTTTATCCATTAATGTTCGATGAGCCCTGAGCTGCTGAAGCATCCCTCTCTACTCATGTTATCCCATACTACCCCGGAGCTGGCTGACAGTTTACGAAGCTGCTTTCACAAACAAGCTAAATATACACGAGGCTGCGCGCTGACCACCGGCTCCGACGCCCGGCACACCTCCACCTCCCTGCATCCTGTCATTTGGGTTCTGCTCGTGGCTCGGCGGGCAGTAATTTGGGCGAGCCGCCGTACCTCCGCTGTAATTGTGTGTCATCGTCGCTCCCTGCTCACAGCACAACTGTTCATTCTCCCCCTTCAGGGCTGCACAGACGAAACTTTATCAAACTGCTTTGATACGTTTAAACGCTCAGTAGTCGATCCACCGCATGACAAATGAGCCTCTGAGGTAGTTGCTGGTTTTGATCATTTAGCTGTGCTTCAGTGTTCCAGTATGAGTGAAGCAGCAGCCAGTAGAGACCTGCACCACATTCTTTGTCTGCTACATTCCTCCCCAGGCACAGACATGCAGCACAGCAGCATGCCAGGTTTACCACATGACCACTTTCCTTTAGCAACATTTGGCTCTGTGCTTCGGCTTCGGTTGGCATCGCAACGCAACCTGTTCCCGGGCCGGGCCAACGCCTCGTCGCCGTCGTTTTGCAGGGAGTGGTGCCGCCGGGCCGCTGTAATCCCGTCCACCGCTCCGGCTTTACGTGCATTTCTGTGCGAGAGCAAGTACGAGCGTGCGTTTTTATTTTAACTGTCTGGCACTGAATAGGCGATGTTGTTTCTCTGTGTGTCGACAGTACTCAGAAAAAGAAGATAAGTACGAGGAGGAGATCAAAGTTCTGACTGACAAACTGAAGGAGGTGAGATTCTGACAGATTTTTATTTTAACAAATGTGATGACTTTGGTATATTTGACTCTGTGCTGTGTTTATACTGTGACAAAAATCACAAATGTCCAACATAAATGGCTAAAAAACAGACAGGCATCATGATTCAGCTCCAGAACTCTTAGTTTTATGTCTTCTGTACTGTTTCCCTTCATTTTGAACCTTCATCCACTGCTTACACATTGTAGAAAGTCACTTTTTAAGACTTTTTTCTCACTAAGTTAATGATTTTAGCCTGTTTTTTAACAAATCTCATTCCCATATAAATGCATCCTAACCCCAAAGTGTGCACCATGTGCATTGACAACAACGAGAAGCTTTAGAAACCTCCTGCTAACCAACTGGATTCACTGATTAGCGTTTTGCTGACACACTGTGTCTGAATCCCCGCCAGGCTGAAACCCGTGCAGAGTTTGCAGAGAGGACAGTGGCCAAACTGGAAAAGTCCATCGATGACCTGGAAGGTATGAGACCAGCAACATTTTTCTTTCCTTTTTTTTTTTTTTTTCTATTTTTGCACACAAGGACAAATATTTACTCGACCCACTGAACAACCAATCACGTGCCCCTAAGGAAGCGTTTAGTTCCAGTAAATTGAGACGTGTTTGTTGAGGGACCGCAGGTACATCTTAATGCGCACATGCAAAACCACTTAGTTCAATTTGACATGGATCCCAGAAGGAGTGTCCTATTTCAGCATGACTGGAAACTTTTTTTTTTTTTGTGGAAAAGAAAGCATTCAGATCTATGGAAACTCCTTACCTAAGACAAGCTAATAAAAGACCCTTGTTTCTGAAGGACGAGTATTTGATGTCAGCCAGGCTGCAAAGAGGACAGAATGTGCTCGCATGTTTTTAGGTCAGCATTATTTAGCTGTTGAACCACAGGCAGCTCAGTTTATGGAGGTATTGGAGCAGTTTTATGAGACGTTCAGAGCAGGTTTAGATGCTCACCGAGCAAAAGCGCCTCATTAGATATGCATCATTCTTTCTTCCAAGCATCTCTGCATCTTTTAAAAGGCCTGACCTGATTTTTTTTTTTTGTCTTCCCTTTCCTCCCTCTGCTCTCTCGCCTCCTTTCTCATCCTGCTTTTTTGGCTTGCTTGTGTCGCTGCTGTCGCCTGCCTGTCGACCTCTGACCTCCAGATGAATTGTATGCTCAGAAGCTGAAGTACAAGGCCATTAGCGAGGAGCTGGACCATGCCCTCAATGACATGACGTCTCTGTAGACGTCTTTTCTCGCTTTTCCCTCTGCTGTGCCTCCGTCTGACTTTCCATCTCGCCTCTGTGCCTTCTGCCCATCTCACTGTGCAAAACATGATTAATTAAAAGTCTTGTTTCTTTCCTACTTTGCAGCTCTTGTCTCTGTTCTTTATTAAAGCAGAATAATGTGACGTTTAATGTGTAGCCTCAGCTGTGTAAATATGAAACCCCGTTGTGCTGTTGTGGTTATCAGATAAACCAGGTGAGAACTTCTGATGCAGTTTTTTTATTTTTGCTGTGAATTAATCGTTTGCAATCCCCTCGACCCGTTAAGACCTTAGGATTACATCTAACATTTCTGATGCCGTCCATAAAGTTTATGCGAGTCACCGCCGTACTGTACGTCTAACAGCCTTCTAGCAGTTTCTGCATGAAACACACACTGTTGTGGTTTAATTTTCTTTGCATGTGACACGACTTTAACCAAAGCAGTTATGCAAAACAGAAGAACAGCGTCAGGACGCCGTTTGACAAACCTGTCGGGGAGATTAAATTGGCATGACGTGCGTTATTAGCTGCTGGCTGGAGGTTCACTGTGTCGCTTTTCCTCTCCGCAGAGAAACTATCAAGAGCCAAAGAGGAGAATCTGGGCATGCACCAAGTCCTGGACCAGACCCTGCAGGAACTGAACAGCTTATAAACCCACCGAGACCAAGCTGGAGAGGACGAGATCGTCATTAACATTCCATTAAACGTTCGACTCCATTCCGCGTTCCGAGCTGTAAAATCTTTATTCCCTCACGTAAAAAGGGGGATTAACTTAAAATGCTTGTCCCTTCATGTTTTTTTTTTCTAAGGCACAACTTTTTTTTTTTTTTTTTTTTAAACATGGGAAATCATTTTGAACCCATTGCTTCTTCTGTCTTTTTTTTTTTTTTTTTTTAATCTCCAGCTGTGATTACAGAAATACTCTCCAGAAATGATTATTTTTTTGACCACTTTATTTAGAAAGAACTGGCAATAAATTCACCCAAAGAAACCTCAGATTTGGTCACTCAACCACTTAAAACTGGCTCTTTTTGGTGTTTTTTTTACGTTGTATGTGCACATACATTTACTGCGTCTGTCTGGTTGTTATTACTACATAGGCTACAGGTGCCATCGGGTTTCCCTTCAGTCTGCATTCGTGTGGCTCTCAAGCGCCACCTAGTGGTGATATGAAGTTAGTCAGCAGCTTTTTTTTTTCGGTTTATTTTGTACCATCCTCAGTGGCTGCAAGTTAACAGACATTTTACTTCTGTGTCTGTTTTAGCAGTAAAATCTGTGTTTAGTGGACAGGTGGGCTCAGGGAAAAGCTCTCAGGCAGCAGCTGCTCAGCAACTTTAGGCCTCTTTTTTAAAAAATTCTGATTAACCAGAAGCCGATGCATTGAATATTTACAGTGCATCACAAGTTTTCTATTCTTTTCTTGGTGTGGGAATCTGCAGAAGCTGAGAGCCATGCACGCCTGAGCTACCTTTCCCTGAGCTCCACCCGACCGCTGCACCATCACCAACAACAACACGCCACGATGTAGCCGATATTTACTAGATTTACAATATATCGTATTACATGAGCGAGCTAAAGCCCAAACCACTGGAAGCTCCGTCAGTAAGTTTTTATCAACCATGGATACTTATTGTATATAGTAGAATAATGTTAGGTATGTGAGACGTTGTATTGCTTTTGATTTTTTTATTTTTTTTGGTTTCATTTACACCACTTCTTCTTTTCGCCAGGGGAACTCTCAAGACCAAAGAACACACACACACACAACACAGACAAGTAATTCTTCAAATGTTTTTATTTTTGTTTGTGGCGGTCTTCGTGGTTTCATCTCATGCCAGGGCCACGGGAAGCGCCTCACATTTGATCGAGACCATCTTCTTGAAATATTTCACCACCACCCCCCCTCCCCCTCTCCATGTCAACCTAATAAATGTTTTACAGAAATCACGACTCGTTTGACTTTTTGTGCAGTTTGACGATTACAGAATTTGATTTAATCGCGAAATAGTGCCGATTTCTTTGAGCGCTTTGTGGTGTGAATCAGATGTTTCTGCAGCTCAGACCGACGGGAACAGAAACGCATGCACGTCCGTCTTTAACCCACATCAGGACCTCTGGTGCTTTGCTGCATTAAACCCCAGGAGGGGCTGAAGTTTCACTCCGCACTGTGGAGATCCAGATAGATAGAGGCGATTTCTCTATTTTCGATTTGAGACACAGAGATTGTGAACCCTTGGTCCATTCTGCTGCTTGTTATTGGGGGCGTCGCTGCTCAGGTACATTTTCTTCGAAAGGCGCAACCTAGACGACAAACGGAAGCATTTTAGTATCTGGTTGTGCGAAAAGCAGCGAACAGAACAAAAATATGAATGCAGCGTGAGATATTTTAATAAATTCTATGCATTCTTTCTAACATAAGGGATTAAAAGTGCAGCATCTCTGCATGGATGCCATTAAAGTGACAAAACAATGAGGTTTTTCGATGCTGCTTGAGGAACATCTCACTTGGTGGACACTTTGAGAGACAACATCATGTCACCGGACATCCAGAGGTGTCTGACGTTACGACAAATGGTGGAGTTGTGGACATTTAGATGCCAGTTTTCGTCCTTTTCTTATATCTTTGGCTTTGTGTAATTGGAACAAAGCTGCAGTTCAAGGCAGCCTTTCATAGTCGCTGCTGAAAGGAGTGCCTACAGCACGCTGTCTGATCTTTGTCCTTTAGTGCCACACCTGACAGGGTGTGGATGGACTCAGGAGCTGAACTGTTTCTGCTGAACTTAACCCGTTTCTATCCAGAACAATTGTAACTAGATTTTTCATTTTACTCTAAAGTTAGAGAAGAAGACTGTTTGCTTGCTGCATTTATACTTTAGTTCAGAGTCTTATATAAAATCTCCAGTTTGTGACATGTTGCCTACCTGCAGTCAGTTTGCATTTCCCGCCTCGAGGCCTGCAGAGGATTATGGAGCAGCCGGCACAGGGCACCACCGTCTGGGCGTGGCTGAAGATGGTGGTGATCCTGTAGCAGCCTGGAGAGGGTTTATAAGATCAATAAGACACAAAAACAACCAACCAGAAAGACAAAATCACTCAGAAAGTTCAGACAAACAGAGACATATGGGCTCTCAGGTCTTACCCATGCACTTCACATCCATGAAGTAGGAGTTGGGACTCTGCACCAGCCTCTTCTTCTTGTGCTTCCTCCTCTCCTCGGCCAGACTGGGGTGCAGCAGATCCTTCGCCAACTGCAAAGGAGAGCAGAGCATCCAGTATTTTACTATCACATTTTACTGCCATGTATTTCATTGTTTTGCATGTTTGGTTCACTAGGAGCAGCTGTTTATTATCTCATGTTAAGGTTTGTGTCTCGTTGACTCTTGTCTGGAGGCTCTGGAGGTCACAGGAGGTCTTATCTGGGCTACGGAAGGCTTTGAGTTCCACTCTTTAGTAGAACAGACAAAACCAAGAGAGCCTGAACAAACTTCTCTATATTACTCAGAATCTGAATCTATCTTAATGTCAGACTTATAGTGACAGTAAACACTGATGAATAGATAATAAGGATGAAAAGTGAAAAATAAAGTGTTAGAAGTCAAATAAAAACAAGCCTTAAAGTAATTAAATATTTAAAATGTGCAAATTATTCACCTGAAATTAAGGATAATAATAATTCTGTTTAAAAATCTGTGCATTCATGTGCCTTTGAGTGTGTCCTTATTGTTTAGGAGGGTTTGAGTCCAACATGCAAACATTTGTTAGTTACAATAAATAACCCTGATAGACAGTTTTTTTAGATTTCACTGAACAGACATCTGAATACTGTTTAATTGCACTTCTATGCTTAATGACATGGGCCAGGATTACAGTTATAACACTATAATACTAGTGTGTTTACAGAATAACGCCCCCTACAGTCTGATGAGTGAACTGCACGTCATAACAAGAGCACAGACATGTCCAGACAAGTCCAGGCATCATCCTTCCTCCCAGATCTACACCTCACACAGACACTTTATATGAACATATTTCAACAAATCCCCTCTGTAGCCTCCTGCAGGAATAAACCTCCATCATTTTATCTGCATGTGTTATTACTGTGATGTTGCATTTACCTGTTTTGTTAAACACATCATTCAAGCAGCTTTCTGTCAAACTGAACTGTTCTACAGTTTCTAACATTTCTATCCAGGATTTACAAAAACAAAACAAAGAGCAACATAGGATTTGTACTTACAGGCATTTTTGCTGAGATCTGGTGGATTTTTTCGTCCGATATAAACACTTTGTGATCACTGATGTCAGAGGAGCTTCCAGATTCACCTGCAGCTTCTTGTTGATCTGATCATGAGCAGGATGTCAGCAGGAGGAGTTCCTGGGTTCCAGGGAGGAGCTACAGCAGAACCACTGACTGGACTGGTCCATGGTGTTCATTAACTCCTTATAAATAGAACAAACGGGTCAGAACAAGAAGTAATTAGTTAAATGTTTCTGCCACAGCTGCTACTCTGAACACTTATTGTTGCATTTATAGCTGAAGAGTTTTGTTTGTTTCTTTGTTTTGTTCTATCTAACTATTTATTTATTTATAGAAATGCTGGACAGTCCTGTAATTGTCTTTTTACACTTAATGCATGACTTACTAACTCAGTGGTGCCTTTACACAAAAACCAAAAGCCATAACTGATTTTAGAGACTCTCTGTTTCTATTTTAGCACAGGGGCATGTTGGAAACTGTGTCAGTATAAGATTTTAAAAATTGCATACTTTGGTTTCTTATTTTACAGTAAAGGTTGCTAATTACTAATTACTAATTATCTGACGTGCTCTGACTAATACAGGTACAGGCTGGTTAGTACAGTGACTCATACTTCAGGTATATATGAGGGGAAACATCACAAACATGCAAAACATCCGTAGTTCATTCAATCATTCTTTTTTATTCAGACAATTCTGTCCATACACAATGATAATTTATCAACAACAGAAACTTATGATACAATAAAAAGGTGTTTGATTGTTACTTGGCTGCCTGGTTTCATATTTAAATAGTAGAGAGGTCATTTTCTGTGCTCATCTATACCCATAATAACATAAAAAGCATGCAAACATTTCTCTAATAAATTTCTCTAATTGTTTTAGTATTTTCTTCTTCTTCTTCTTCTTCTTCTTCTTCTTATTATTATATTGTTATTTTTATATATTTGTACATATTTGTTAAATGTATTTTTATTTTATTTATATTTTTAAATGTTTTATTCCTCTTTGCTATTTGATCAGATTGAATAGCAAAGAGAAATAAAAAATACATATCAAACAAGAGTCCAGGTCTTAAGAGGTTAATACGACAGAAACATATTTTGAGTTCAGCCTTTTACAGTGAAGTCATATCCAGCTGTGACGTATGAGCTGGTGAAGTGTGACTCAGTGCTGTCTCCATGATGGGAGGATTTAGAATTACAGGTAGTTCATGGAGTTACCGTTGTGTTGAGCAGAAATGTGTGCAGCTCTCTCACTTTGGAGACCTTCATGTTCTTTGTTTTAGTAAACTTACAGGAAAAACTCCTGCAAACAACCTTAAGCTACAAACTAAACTTCAGCTCCTGTGACACGTCTGTGTGCACGATGATGAACAACTGAAACCTCAACATCAGAGATTTAGTGAAATCTGGGGTTTCCGGTGAGACTTCAGGGGCGGCTGTTGGCCTCATGGCCACTCCTTGAAGGCCCCTTTGGTAGCATGTGGTCTGGATTTATAGAAAAGTTTCATATTTAATGTTTTTATAGCATGAAGGTTTAGGATAAATGTTAAAACGTTTTACTTTTAAATAGCATTTACACTTTTTATATCAACTGGCAATGTGATATTTGCAATGTAATCATGTCAGTTGATAAAATGCATCCTACACATTAAAAAAATGAAAGAGAAACTAAACTTCAGCTGCTGACGTACTGTCACTGACAACATTAATTGGTTCGTCTAGTCTTGACGTCACCAACTTAAAATTTTATTTAAATTTATTTTGTCTTTTTTTTTTTTTTTTATCAATTAATACATTATTTTTGCGGACCAAGTTAGTTGGTTTGTTTTTTATTCAACTTAACATCACTTTTACTCCGGGTGGCGACAGACATCAAACCAAACGAACCCGGCAGCCTCCCGGAGCCACGACGACAGAGAAGATTGACAGGCGATCCGACCAATGGGGAAGCTGAGCACAAGTGACGTCTGCGTCTCGACCGCGGGCGGGACATCCGCAGTAGTAAGCTAGCTAATAACATGGCGAAGACTTACGATTACTTGTTTAAACTACTTTTAATCGGCGATTCGGGCGTCGGAAAGACCTGCGTGCTATTCAGATTTTCAGAAGATGCCTTCAACTCAACATTCATCTCCACTATAGGTATGTAGAAGTCGTATTATCGGTATTAACTTGGGTTTGAAAAGTGGCACAGGAGCAGCCCATCCCGTCATGCTAATTCGTAGCTAACTTTTCATGCTAGCATCGGTGGCTAGTCAGGAAGCTGCTCAACCGGCGGCTTCGAGGGGCTTTTCCAGGACCCTCACTGACACTTTAACCCACTAGAATACCGAGAGAGCCCCAGTATGAATGATCTAAACGGGCGGAACCCCAATTTGTGATTTTTAACGGTAACTTTGGCAAGCTGAGCTAGCAGGCTACAGAGCTGCTAGTGAGCTAGTTTAGTTAGTTGGCAGAGTCATTTCCCCCCTATGACCAGCTGCCCTGCACTTCGCACTCTTGAAGCCAACGTTACAGAAAGTATTCATCATCTTTATAACTATTCCTGTGCTTCCAAAAATCAGCCGTTAATGTCGCTGTCAGTGGGATGCTGAGTCAGTTTGGGCGACTGTCATTTGTTGCTGTGCTTGAAGTTTGGTGAATTGTGTGACTTTTGTGCTTCTTCAGGTATTGACTTCAAAATCAGAACGATAGAATTAGATGGGAAGAAGATCAAGCTACAGATATGGTAAGACACACAGATGTATCAGAAGCTTTCATCTGACAGCTGATTCATGGCTGTGACAGTCAGTTACAGGCTTATTACAGACATCAAGCTTCACTTAAGGTGCTATATTACAACCTGCCGGCACTGCTTCCTGCCTACATGAAGGTTGTCGCGCTCGTTTTTCTTTATGTTCATAAATCAACAGCACCACAAACTGCAGCTTCCTGCGTAACCTTAAAGTTCCCATAGTGTGCCTCATATCAGCAAATGAATGAAAGTCTCATATTTTACAGAGAGCGTCTCATTTTTTCAGGTTAAAATCCTGCAGAGTGTTTAAACCCGTGTTTTAGCCCAGTTTGAAACGGGCTGTTTCAAAGCCTGACGCCCTGAAGGCAGCAGCGGGGTTAGTTTTAGCTAGACTACTGGTTCACGGTGTTACTTCTCACTCGCTTGTAAACCTGGAAGGCTAACTAGTTTCAGGGGGGCTTTAGGAATGACAGAACTAAACGCCCTGATGTCTCAACACCTCCAACAATCACACAGCACAATATAGACACAGTATGGGACCTTTAAGTTAAATCATCACTTCTGCAAACAGCTTAAACAAAAGTGTCAGACTGTAGCCTTAAAGACATGATTTATTGCAGGCCACGTGTATTAGACTGCATTGATTAATGAGATACCTTTCACTAGTATATACCGAGTGACTGCTGAACAGCTGTGTCCCTAAAACCAGTCAGGTTTGGTTTAGTATCCAAACACTGCTCTGGGTCATCAGTCCTTTCTCTTCATCCAGCTGAGACTCTTAGATGTTTCGGTGACTAGTTTGTGATCCAACAACCAACAGGAAAAGTAGAAAATTGTCAGAGTTGGTTCTGTATTTCTTTGTCTCTTTGCTGAATGCACAAATATGAAACAGATATTGAAATTTTTGTTTTGTTTATTCCTTAAAGTCAAGAAAATGTGGGTTGGGCTTTAGAAAGGTTCTGCAAGACTGCATGAAGAACTGTGTTGTTCTGTGCAGGGACACGGCGGGACAGGAGAGGTTCAGGACTATCACGACGGCCTACTACAGGGGAGCCATGGTGAGTTGCATCGTCAGCCTTTCTAATAATGCAATAGCCAAGATTATCTCTGACAACTGATTGGGTAAAGTGGTAATCGTGTCAGATGTGAGCGCCTCGGCATAAACCTTTACCAGAACCACACCCATCATCGTCGCTGTTGTTGTTAATGTCTCCTGGAAATCCGAGGTGTGCTCAGCGCGTTGCTGTGGTATTATCGTTAGCCTCTCCTTTACTACGAGTTTAACTGGATGTCTGGATTTGCATATTTTAATTCTGAAAACAACTGCTTTTACTTGAGGCTCCAAAATAACACGACTCCTCACTGATAAAGGTCGACACGTAAACAGTGTAAACTTCAAAGTCTGTCTTCATGGACATGTGTGAATAAAAATGACGTTACTGTTGTCGGGCTGCTCGGTTCTTATCTTCTGCTCTATGAACTCTGCAGGGCATCATGCTAGTGTATGACATCACCAACGAGAAGTCCTTCGACAACATCAAGAACTGGATACGGAATATAGAAGAGGTAGAACCTTGTTGTTTCTTTTCTTTTTATCCACATGTTCTCTTTCATTTTAAATGTTTCGGTGCTGATCTTCTACAGAGAGCTGCAGTATTTGCACACAGTTAAACACATCTTATTCCTGACAGTTTCCTCCCATGCTAACTTCTTTTTTCTGCAGCACGCCTCAGCAGATGTGGAGCGGATGGTCCTCGGGAATAAATGTGACGTCAACGACAAGCGACAGGTGTCCAAAGACCGAGGAGAGAAGGTGGGCGAGACGCATGTGACTCCGAATGCAGTGAAAACTTTATTAAAATGCACTTTTATCTCTGACACTCATTATGTCTCCTTTCTCCTGTTGTCAGCTGGCGCTGGAGTACGGTATCAAATTCATGGAGACAAGCGCAAAGGCGAACATCAACGTGGAGAATGTGAGTTCACACTTTTTGAAATAGCGTTGTGAGAGCTGACAAACATTCTTCATGTATTGTGTCTAGAAAAGGTGCTGAGGATAGCAGCAGTTATATCGTTTAGTCATTCTGACTCCAGCCTTCATGTCTGAGAAGAGTCGTGTTCAAGAAGCTCAGAGGAACAGTTCAGTGTTTTGGGGAAATCATTTACTGTCCAGTTGACAGTCAGTCTGTGTAACTTCACAGCAGCAGCTTAGTTTAGCACGAGGACTGGAAACAGGGTCAGAAGGTGACAAAATCCACCTCCAAGCACCTCTAAGACCCACTAGTTTACACACTTTATCATGGCTGGTAAGTCCCTCTAAAAATGTGCATTTGTCAGGGAGTTTGTCACTAATAAATTCCCTACAAATGCAGGTGCAAATGTCATTTATGGCACCAGATTTAAAACTTTATGGAATTGACTGCATATAGAAACAAAAATAGAAAAATTCCAGCTAAACTTGTAGAGAAACGTTAATTCTTCCAGCGTTGTAACGTAGAAGGAGCCCTTCAAGGTGCATCCAGGCTTCTGCTGTACTGCTGAATACAGAACCGGAGCCAGCAGTCGGTTTTGTGCGTTTACATTCATTGTCGTATGTGCACATGACACAAGTTGCTCATTTTGACGCTGCTACCAAATTGGACCAGTTCCTGGTATTGACAGTCTGCCGTTGGAAGTTTTGTAATTGTTTATTTGCCGGATGTCACATATGATGATGAATGATGCCTGCAGGGCCAACGGGCCTCAAGTCAGTCCGCTTTAAATTCTGTGTCACAGCTGATTGAATCCAGGAGCTGTAACATCACGTAGAAACTTCATACAGCAGAGTTTAGGCCGTGCCATAAGAGAGACAAAGCACGATGATGATCAGAAACAAGGAGGATGTCATTAAAGCTGGTGCTACAACATAAAGCTTTGTTGTATTTTCTGGGAAAGTCCCACGTTTCTGTGTTTAGTAAAGAAACAAATGAGGAACCAGAGGGCATTTGCACTTTCCAACTCTGCTAGCGTACAGTCTAGAGGGTTTTTTAAGGTTATGTACTCACAAAACAAAACTACTGATGTAATGTAGCCACTGTACTGTGTGATACTGCAGTAGTTTTGGTTTTATTGGTGAATTCGTCATTTTTTTCTGGTAATAATTAAACTGTCCTCTTTGTCTACTTCTGCACAGAATCCTGTTTTTTAATTTTCTGATGTGTTTGCGTCTGCAGGCCTTCTTAACCCTCGCCAGAGACATTAAAGCAAAGATGGACAAGAAGCTGGTAAGACTTTAAAGCAGCGGAAACGCTATCGGTCATAGCTGAGGGTACGTTTGTTGGACGTATTCTGGTGTTCTGCTCATTCGATCTGGCTTCTCTGTTCCAGGAGGGCAACAACCCGCAGGGCAGCAATCAGGGAGTGAAGATTACAGAACAGCCCAAGAAGAGCAGCTTCTTCCGCTGCACGCTGCTGTGAGGAGACGGGAGTCTGCGTCCGCCATCGCCTTAACCGTGTCCCCCACTGGACAGAACTGGACAGAGCCCGCTCTGATCTCTGCTTCCTCCTTCCTCACTGGTCTTCCTCCGTCTCTCTCCTCTGATTTGTCCTGTGATTATCGAGTTAGGAAACAAAGTGTATCGCTCCCTCGGTTTAACGGTCTTCCCTCGACACCTGTGGATCTAACTACTGTGGCCTCTGTTACATACTAAACCTGATTTCTTTTTCTTTTTTTTCCTTTTCCTGAGACCGATGGTTTCAACTCACTTCCTGAAGTTTTATTCACTTTTTAAAAGCTGCCTCTTTGTGAGACGCTGAGAACGAACAAAGCTTTTCTGCCCGTCGTCTTTAGCCTTCGCCTACGGGTCACGCGTTGTCAGTATCACTCGATGAAGTCTTATTTATTTCATCCTTATCGGCCAAATTATACTTCATGCTAGTTAGTTTAGTTTTCAGAACGCTCCATTGATCAGGTGATAAGAGCACAATGTTTTTAAGCTCTGTTTGTACCGACGGGGTGGATCAGTAAATGTAGAAATATGTATCATTGGTTCTGCTTCACCGTATGAAATGGTTCTGCCAGTGTATTTACTCATCATATCAGCGGTGGGGTTTACATGTCTTCTGTCCACCTCTTCGGCTGAAACATTCCATTCCTCTCGTTTACGTGCAATGTCGTGTCTGTGGAGCCCCGTTCTGTTCAGAGCCTTCACCTGGCTGCAGTACCTCTGGGCTCTGGACAGAATCTGCTTGTTTTCAGGGCACACCGATTACTTCTGTCGTTGCTCTCCGCATCGTTTTAGGTAGAAAAGGCAAACGGTGGCCGGTGTGAGGCGACGACACGCCTCCACAGGTGAGCCGGCAGTACCTGAACCCAACACCTGGAGGCAATTCAGTTCCACTGAAGGAATCACAGCGACGATGAAACCTTTGTTCTCTGTACTTGTTGCGGTCGTCGGTTCTGACGGGGGGACGTGAGCACCACTGTTTTCTGGGCCTTGGATAGGGGCTGTGCTGTAGCAGTATTTATGGAGTGGAACAAAAAACATAGCACCAAAATGACAAAGTGCCCTTTTTATTTTCTTATTGATTATGCACTTTTTTCCTTTTTGTTCTTTCTGTTTAAAAAAAAAAAAAGAAAAAAAAAAGTTCTTAACATTTATTGACTGTGTTTGTTGCAAAGTCTTAACTGAAAGCAAAGAAGACCTCCCTGTTCCCCATCTGGGCTTCCTGAAACCATCTGAGCACTGAAACTTCTCCTCTTAGTTGTTCTATTGAAGGTATTTTCCCTCATCGTCGTTCCAACATTCCCACCTGTCGATTTGCTTCGTTTGCATCGCCGCCGATGCTTTTGGGAACCCCAGACTTCCTCCTTCCAGATATTCCGCGTGTTGTTTTGGCGTCACGGCCGTCTGAACTATGCATTCTGGGTGCGTAGAAGAACCTCAGAAAGCTTTGCACATTCGACTTAACGAGCTTTATTTGAGATTAGAAATGTGCAGAGGATCTGTGCTGTTTGATTTTCTGCCGTCACTCCGAACTCTTTAGAGAGCTGCTCAGAGGATAAAAAAAAATAAAAAATAGGAACTGATTTACGGTTAAAATCACATCCGAGGTTTTCAGATCGTTTGAAGTGGTGCTGAAGAGTCTTTAACCTGAACTTCACTCGTGTTTTCTTGTACTTCAGAAATCATTACCGGTTGGACTTTAGCGCTTCGTTTGTTAAACTGACTCTCAGATGAAAACCAGTCAGACGAAGGTTCAGGTTTGTGGCGTCGTTTTGATCTAGAAATTCTTTTGATTGGGAGTCCTTGTTCCTCGTGAATCTGGCAGTTCTGTCGTTCAAACATCCTAAAACATTCCTCGACTAAATTTGGATTTCTTTCCCTGATTATTGTTGGACGGAATAAATTAAATAATTCAGCAGTTGTAAATAAGATCTACAATGATTGTACTGTAGTTTCATAAATCTTATTGATCTACGCTTTTTGTAGATATGTGTACTTTTGATGATTTATTAAAAATGAGATTCTTAAAGATGTCTGGTTGTAGTTTTTGTGTTTCTTTTATTAGCTAATGAACACGAAAAACAATATTGAGAAGATCAATTTAATCTAAGTCTGATAAGTTTCTGGTTTCGATCACTAGTTTCAAGTCTCCTTTAATAGAGCGTGATGTGAGATTTGTGAATTATGGTTCCTCCTTTAGAGGAGAATAGTTTTAGGTTTACCTCGTGATTGACATTCACAGTTTTATTCTCAGTCAGTAGTTCTCTTTGAAGCAGGAGTCCAGTTTCTTTATGAACTTGATGCTCAGGCTGCACTGAAGCTCTTCTGCGCTTGTTGCTTTGAAGAACTGATCAACCCGTAAACAGCGCCCTTAAAACCACACTGTCGAGAAATGTAGTTAAACTAGAACTGCTCTCAGTTTGTAAATGATATTAAATAAACCGCCAGAGACAGCTGTCAGGGCACACCTTCACCAAACAAGGCCGCGAGCTGGGATTAAGTTACACGTCATGTCTGTACAAACCCTAACCCCGACAGCAGGAAGATGATCTGCACGCTAACATCAAACAGTGCTGCAGCTTTTGTGGTTTTGGTTTCACATCTTAGTTGTTTTCAGTGAGTTCTGTCGATTTCTTGTATTTCATTTAGGGCTGGGACTTCCGTCATCTCTACACCTTAATCCTCACCAGGGTCATGGGGGGCTGAGTCTATCCCAGCTGACTCAGGGTGAAGGCAGGTTCACCTGGACAGGTAACCAGTCTATCACAGGGCTACACTTAGAGACAGACAACCAAGCACACTCACATTCACACCTACGGACAATTTACAATCACCAATTAACCTCAGCATGTTTCTGGACTGTGGGAGGAAGCCGGAGAACCCGGAGAGAACCCACGCTGCACGGGGAGAACATGGAGACTCCACGCAGGAAGATCCCGGGTGTCCTCACCGGGACGCCAACCAGCGACCTTCCAGCTGCGATGCAAAGGTACTTTAGCACATTAATTTTGATTAATTAGGAAATTATAACACATTTAATCGCACCTTTTTCAGTTCCCTAATTTATGTCACACCGGTAACACTGATGCTCACACTCCAGCCACTAGGTGGCGCTGATGCACCTAAAGTTCGTCTGTCAGCCACAAAGAAGATAAACAGGAGTAACGTCAGCGCACGAGAAAGTTTGAACGGTGATGGAAAACGAGGCCGCATCGCTCTGCTCGTTGTTTTCTCATCAAGGCCTGATGCTGCGACGTGGACGAAATCTGACAAATTTGCATAAAGTTGAAGTCAAGTCTGCTTTATGCAAATTTGGGCCTTGTCACTCCAAACTCGCCGAGACGCCACAGACGTGCAACAATAAGACAAAAAGTCCTAAAATGTTGAAAAATAGTCGCTGTAGTTGCACTTTGAGTTTGCACTAATCTGGAATATGCAGATAAATACAGATGAAATATAAACGTTTTAGTTGTTTAAGTTCACGTATTTGTCTATTCGTTGATTCAGTCGTCAACCAACATTCAGTTGAATTAAAAAATGTTGCTTATTGTGTCGGATATTGCTGTTTTAAATGTGATTAATTAATTACAAAGCCTCTAATTAACTAATTTGTTTTAATCGCGTCCCACTGCTAGTTCTATTCATTTTCTACATTATTTATTTCCCAGATACCCATTGAAGCACGTTTTGTCCTCCGTAGACGATATATTTTGTGTTGCAAATGAATCTGCTGCCCTGCACGGTGCCACGCTTTCATTTCTGTTCTGTAATATGCAAAATGTTCAGTATTTGGCTCAGAGGTGATAAAAAGAACAACAGACAAACAAACAAGCTGGAGAGCTGCATGAACTCTAAAGGAAGTTTTAGGAGAAGTTTGGAGTTCGTAGAGGACGAACTGTGATCTCATTTACACCTCATTAAACATCTTCTACTCAAACTCTCTCCTCAACTTTGTCGCTACAGATAAACGTTTACGATCTCAGTCAGCTAACTCGCATTTTTAAGGCAGCAGAGGAACTCGTAAGATTAATAAACTGAACATGATGTACCTGTAGACAGCTGTAAATACCTGTAGACACCTGTAGATCACCTGTAGATACCTGTATATAGCTGTAGATCACCTGTAGATACCTGTATATAGCTGTAGATCACCTGTAGATACCTGTATATAGCTGTAGATCACCTGTAGATCACCTGTAGATCACCTGTAGATCACCTGTAGACACCTATAGACACCTGTAGATCACCTGTAGATCACCTGTAGATCACCTGTAGACACCTGTAGATCACCTGTAGATACCTGTATATACCTGTATATACCTGTAGATACCTGTAGATCACCACTGACTGATACCAGGATGCAGAAAAATGTGACGAAGCATCTGAGAATGTTTAAGCCAGTCAAAGTGTCTCACTATTCTGCTCTCTGTTGTATTTTTCTCTTTTCTTTTGTCATCAGTTAAACCAGTAAATTAAGCAAAAGGTTGCAGTTAATGCGCTTTAAAGGAGAAAATATGGAACACTTTGCTTTAACAGACAGACTGTAAGTTAAAGAATCTGCCTCATGACTTTATCTGTGCATCTCTGAGCTGGATTCACTCATAGGTGGTAAAACGTTTACCTTTATTTATGATAAAAGGAGGTGATTGTGCGTGAAGAGGCTGTTTGTGTGTCACTGACACCATCATTTGCGATGCAGATCATCACTTCTGCTTCAGCTGTGGAGCGAAACGACAGCAGAAAGACTCTGACCTTTACTTTCTTTCAGTCGTGACGTGGGAGGAAAACTTCCTCTGAAGCGTCTCTCTCTGTGTTTACAGGAATGTGCGATGAATCATTCCACTGAGCGGTTAATGGGTCACCAACGAGACGGCGTCGTTTATTATTAGAGCCCGTGACAGCTGGAAAGTACAGAGAAAATTAATTTTTAACACTTACATCAGCTCCACCTTGGTGCTGTGAACTTCCACTGGAGCTGATGTAGCGAGTGGAGGCTGCAGCTCCTCGTGTCGTCTGGGCTTCATTTCATCTCTAATAAATCTAAACGTCCACTTGAAACTCTTTGTTTTTTTCACCATAATGGTGAACACTTGTGTGACAGACATCCACTGATGCACGTCGCTGTCTCCACACCGTAAAAGACATTACTGAGTTCTTCAGTT